CTGTTATTCAGAACCTAGTTCTATAAACAAGAGTCAGAGAGCTTTAAATACTTGTCAAACGGCTGGCACCGCGGCTCAATAGGCTAATCCTCCGCCTAGCAGCGCCGGCACACCGGGTTCTAGTCCTGGTCGGGGCGCCGGATTCTTTCCTGGTTGCCCCTCTTCCAGGCCTGCTCTCTGCTGTGGCCTGGGAAGGCAGTGGAGGATGGCCCAAGTCCTTGGGCCCTGCACCCCATGGGAGACCAGGAGAAGCACCTGGCTCCTGCCATCATTCAGCGCGGTGCACCGGCCGCGGCGCACCGGCCGTGGCGGCCATTGGAGGGTGAGCCAATGGCAAAAGGAAGACCTGTCTCTCTGTCTCTCTCTCTCACTGTCCACTCTGCCTGTCAAAAAAACCAAAAACAAACAAACAAACAAAAAAAAAACTTGTCAAAGAGCCAGACCTGGGAGTAAAATGAAACTGTTTCTTTTCTAGTCTATGACTTTACTGACTTAGATTTAGGAAGAAACAGATGTAAATAAAGCAGAAAATAGAATTAGAATAGGAACATGAAAAGAGGTCAAATTTCAAGACAATAAATAAATATGTTTTCCTCCTTTCTGCTCTGGATGAATTTGTGCTACACCTTCACTCTTCAAGCACAGGGATTCAAACTGCTGCCCAAGGGATCTGTGAGGTGCCAGGGAAGAGTCTGCGGTCACAGTTGCTCATGATTTATTAATTTGCTCATGAATTTCTCTTGTAGAATCTCTTCGGTATTATCTTGAACCATAGTCTTCAAAAGGTCCTTGTAGAATGTGTATTTTGAAGACCCTATGAATACATTTCAAACAATCTCATTTTCCATGAACTCTTTGAAGTTCCTTTGTACCTGCACAATCCTAAAAAAGTATTCACAATTGTGGAGATCTTACTTGAAAAACTAAAGGCCAGAATTGGCAAATATTAAGATGCATAATTTAAAATATAATTTTTATGTTCTGTCTTGCCTAATCTTCTTCCTCCCACTGTGAGGTATCTCAGCCTTTCTCGGTTGCTTTGAATCAGATCTGTTGGATTCTTCTCTTTTTGGTTTATTCTTCTTGTCTTTCCTTTTCTGGGTAAGTGACTTCACTAAGGATGTTTGTGTGCCAGTAGGTATAGTGAGCAGCTTATATTATAGCATACAGAATATAGACAGGAATTGAGAACAGATTGCACTCACCATATGATTTTTCAAAATATACAATAAATATTAAAATAGTCATAAATCATTGAAACTATAGCAGTACATCATTCTTAGCAATTTGACAAAGATTTGAAACAAAGTTTGCAAAATTCTGTGTTTGCAGGAAAACTGATGCACACCAGCATTTATTTGGTTGTTTTTTTTTTTTTTTTTTTTTTTTTAGTTCCTACATGCAAGGGATAGCTTGTGGTATTTGTCTTTCTGTGTCTGGCTTATTTCACTCAACATGATGTCCTCCAGTTGCAGTGTTTCTGATGCAAATTATAGAATTTTTAATACATGAATAATATTCTGTGTGTATGTGTGTGCACATCACATTTTCTGTATCCATTCATCAGAGGATGGACACCTTGGTTGATTCATATTTTGCCTACTGTGAACAGTGCTCTTATAAACATGATGGTCAAGGTATCATTTTGAAATGTGTTTCTGGTTTTTTGGTAATGACTTTAGAGACTGTGGCATATTATTACATTGGGCACTTAGAAAGCCTATCATTCTAGCTTATGTCTTAAACTGTCTTTAAATATGAAGTAGGATCATCAGCCACACCTGGTCTTTGTCCTTTCCAATAATGCAGAATATGGCATTCTTTCTCTGAAGCCAGAAATTACCATAGGCATACAATCTACTACATTTGTACCATGGATTTGGTTTGTCTCATGTTTATTCATCATTATAATAGTTAACGGTGCATGCTCAGGGTGGGTACTTGGCTCAGTAGTTCGGAAACCACCTGGAATGCTTGCATTCCATGTAGGAGTACCTGGATTCAATCCCTGCCTCTGATCCCAATCCCAGTTTCCGACTAATGTACACTCTGGGAGGCAGCAGGTGATGTGTCAAGTTGTTGAGTTCCTGTGACAATGTGGAAGACCTTGATGGCATTGTCAGCTCATGGCCTCAGCCTGATTCAATCCTGGCTGGGGCAAACATTTGGGGAGTAAATCTGTGAAACGGAGATCACTCTGGCTGTCGCTGTCTCTCTGCCTTTCAAATAAAGTATTAATGTTTATCCTAAGCAAACATTAACTCAGTCAACCAGACTAGAAGTCTGTTATTTGTGAAAATTCCCCAATCATGGGAAATGTTTATTTTGACTTGGTATCTTTGATTGTTACAGTGCATACTCGTCCTGGTGTCTTCAGACTTACCTCCCTGATTCCTTAAAGATTATACTTGTTGCTTTTTTTTAGTCTAATTATTTGAAATGCAGACTACAAGAGTGAGGAGGAGGGAGAGACTCAGAGATCCTCCATCTGCTGGTTCACTCTCCAGATGAATCCAGCAGCTGGCGCGGAGCCAGGCCAACGCCAGGAGCCTGGAACTCTATGAAGTTCTTCCACAGGGTAGCAGAGGCACAAGCACTTGGGCCACTTCTGCTGTTTGCACAGGCGTGGAGCTGGATTGTAAAGTGAGCAGTAGGGACTCAGACCAGTGCTCAGATGGGATGCTGACATCACAGGTGCCGGCCCCATATATTCGTTGCTTATTGATTTTTTTATCTTTAATATCAACAGGAAGGGAGGAACTACTGTCTAGAGGCCTGCTTTTAGCTAATTATTTGATAATCAGTTTCCAACTTAGCTTCTTAGGTGGTATGAATTTATCTTTAATTACTCAAGAAATTTTTTTCTAATGTATTAATCATTTTCTATTTGAAACTTAGGGTTCAAAATTGATAGAGGCTCAATCCTAATTTTTTTCTATGGAATTCTGTCACTTTAACTGATGTAATCTGTGCTAAATTACTAAGTACACCATTCTATGTTTGAAGATAGATTTACTATTCTGTAGCTAAATCTGTCACTTTGCAAAATTTTCATAGTCACACAATAACAAATTCTTTAATGTTTATTGTCATCTACTTAAAGGGAGGAACAGAATGAGAGATAGATGAGACATCTTCCATCTGCTGGTTCATTTTCCAATTGCCCGTAGCAGGAAGAACTGAGCCAGGACAAATCTAGGAGCCAGGAACTCCGTTCAGGTGTCTCAGGTGGTGGCAGGGACCAAAGTACTCATGCTAACAAGGGATGCCTCCTAGTATGAATCAGGAAGCTGCATGGGAAGCAGAGGAGCCAGTACAACAACTAGCACTGCAATATGGGATGTGCGCATTGCAAGTGGTGATTTAACCTGCCGCACCACAACACCTGCCCCAGAGAATATTTTTTTTATCTTTCCACATGGGTATCACAAACTGTTAAAGAGTTGTTCTTTGGAGCATGTTCTTTTGATACCTTGGAAGATCTTTTCAATTGCTACTCCCAACACATCACAAAATCATATTGTTACCTAAAACTGTTGCTTTAAAGTTATCTTAAGGAATTTTTCACTGGCAGAAATTAAAAAAAAAAAAAACCTCAAACTTTAAAAAGAGCAAGGCCCTTAAAAAATAATTGCTCTACATTTGTGAAAGCAAGAAAAACACTATATGCCCTTTAGATTATTTGAGAAAAAAAAGCTAAGTGGTAAACAAATGCTGACAGCTTTTAGCTTATTACTGAAAATAGTCATGTAGGAATTTATTACTGCATCATCTTATTAAGTTGCTCTTGCAACCATAATACACATGAAATCATAGAATCTTGGTGAAAAAAAATCTCTTCCTCTGTAGTTAAAGATCCAGGTCTGTGTTGCTAATCATATTTCCTTAGTCTGGTGGCTCTAACAGATTTGCCTATAAAGCTAGTTATTAAGAAATTATCAATTCCCAACTTGACTCTCACTGGGATTAAACATGACAATAGGTCTGAAAAAAAAAAAAAAAAAGAAATGTGAACATTAGCTCTGACTTCCTGGTGGTGGCTTCATCATTGCTTAATGAGTTCATATATTTTAGATTAGCTATCACATTATGCAGAAGATTTGCTTCTAAATGTAAATTTTATATTTTCATTGTATTAATAAAATTGGTAAGGCCACTGATGGAGTAAGCCTGACATTCTTATGTGAACATGTTTACGGAAGATTCAAAGAGAATTCACGTGGTTTATGTAAAATTACCAAAGATAAAGGAGGTTTCATCATCAGCATCTTAAAAACTGTGGATATTTTTCACTTGATTTTTAAGGAGGAAAAACACTCAATTTTGCTCAGATAAATCATGGAAATGTCCTGGGAATCTGTACAGTCATGTGGAGCCAGAAAATAGAAGTTTAAATGTAGCGTGATTCAACTGCGAGGGAAGTCAGAGTGCATGACCTTGATGACCCCATCTGAATCAACTATAACGCAATGAACTGAAATAGTTCACGATTTCAGACAGATTCTTAACTCTAGGGAGGTCAGGGTAATGTGACATGTTCTTCTGCAATTGGTGATCAGCATTAGCAAAGGTAGACACTAATCGCAAAACACGCAACTGGCCCTGTGCCTTTAAATAACTAGACATACATGCTCTTGGCACTCAACTTCCATTTCTGCATTTACTACTGTTTATTAACAGACAGGAGTGGGCATTGTGACTTCTGCATCCCTGGAATTCTCTTTTGGGGAAATTCAGCAGGGGAAGGAGCTGTGTCTTTTTCCTTGATCATAAGGTGGAAATTTTCAATCTGAACTTAAATAAATGATCTTCAAGTTGACTGACACAGTGCCATTTACATTTAACTTTCTTGGCTCTTTTCCTATTCTGTATTCCTTTCAGTTCCTGTACTCCTGTTTCCCAATTTTTGGAGGGGAATATTTAAGGCACAAGCAGGGAGATGAAACCCAATGTTTGTGAGGACTTGCTAATACTGACTACTGTGTTCATGTTCCCTCCAGGCACCGAAGGCGCTGTATTTGGGCACTCGGTGGAGACACCTCACATCAGAGCAGAACCCTCCCAAGACCTCAAGTGAGTGGTCCCCCTTATCCCTACGTCATGTTTTCCACACTGTTGATATCTGTGACATAGGATGAACTAAAATATAAAATGTGCTTCATGCTTGTGCGAAGAGCTGGTATTTCCGAGCTCTGGTAAGTAGGTATTTGAGAGCAAGAAAACGTGACTTCTTATTCTAACCTTGTCCATATTTCCCTCATATTTACAATGAATCTAACAGTAAATAGGTAAGTGTGGAAAAGGCAAAGAGGAGACAGGTTAGAGGAGTAGAGATGCTGGAAAATCTGAAACAGATAAATACATTTCACAAATTGGCATGAAGATAGGGAAGTGGAAGATAGGGAAGAACTAACAAAAGGCAGGCAGTATTATGTATGGGGAAATAGAGCAGAAAAAGGCAATTGTAAGCAACTAACAGTAGAACATCATTGCTCTGTGTTGAGTTTTTCAGGCATGTATCTCGAGTGGAATATGATGCCTTTTGACATTGCATGGTTGTACTTAAAAGTCCTCACTACACGGAGGATTGAAGTTGGCAACTGTTGATGAAAATTGAAACATGAATACCTAAACAGTCCCATGGATGTTAAGTCAATAAATAAGTTGAGATTTGGGGTAGAAACATGTTTTATATAACTAAATTCTAATGGGTTAATTACTGTTTTTTTAAAGGCAACAATAGTGATAATAGAAAAAGGTCATGATAAAAGTCACTATTAAAGTTGGGTCATAGTCATCCTGATACTGTCTTGAAAAACATAACAATGACATTTCATAAACACGATTGTTCAGCAGTTCCCACTGTATGAGTGGAAAAATCTTCAAATGCAGACAGACAGCAGGGTAATATGGCTGTGACATCTGTCACCCTATAGATTGCCAGGCTGATCTTGCTGGCATCCCCTTCCTCCCTCAGTGTTCCATGTGCACATCTCTACAAATAGGAATTAAGGTAGAAGACTAACCTTCCCTACTGAGGGAAGCTTCCAGAATCTCCTGATAAGGTCTCAAGGTCCATAAATAGGAAAACATAGGGTAACAAAACTCTAACACATCTAAATGAGGCACTGCATGGGGGAGCCAACCTTTCATCAAAAATACAAAATAAAGTTTAAAATTTTAATGATTAAAAATTATACAACAGTAAATTTGTAGATGTCTAAGTTATATGACAACATGTCCTCACCAACAGTTTCTCACAAATTGAGTAAAACAGATTCAATAAGCTAATAAATACCAGGAATAGGTGGCCACTTTCTTGTAGTGAAGACATCTTCATAATTTGTTGCTCTATGCAGAAAGCCAAGGGTTGAAGAAGGTGTAAATGGCATCATTTGAAAGGCAGAGTCGTGGGGAGCAGAAATGTTTGAGTTCTTTATAGATTCTAGATATTAATCCTTTATTAGTTGCATAATTTGCAAATAGTTTTTGCCATTTTGTTGGGCGTTTCCTTTGCAGAGCAGAAGTTTCTTAGCTTGATGTAATTTGGTTTTTGCTTTCATTGCCCTTTCTCCTGGGGTCTTTTCAAGGAAGCCTTTTCCTATGCCAATGTCCTGTAGTATGTCCCCAATGTTCTCTAGTAATTTGATGATGCAAGGTCATAGATTTAGATCCTCGATCTGCTGGGAGTTGATTTTTGTGTAAGGTAGGGGTCAATTCTGCATGCAGAGATCCCATTTTTCCAGCACCACTTGTTGAATAGACTGTCCATTCTCCAGGAATTTACTTCAGCTTATTTGTCAAAGATTACTTGGGGATGTGTTTCATTCATCTACATATCCATGTTTGCACCAAGCTGTTTTGATTATAAATGCCTTTTATTGTGATGACTCTGACTTTGTTTTAAAATTGCTTTTGCTATTCAGGGTCTCTTGTCTTTCCATTTTTTAGAATGAAAAGTTTGTTGGTTAAACTAAGAACCAATCACTATTTTAGTTGCCTTGTGATATGTTTCAAAATTCTTAAGTGTGATTGTGAATTAAATTAGAATAATTAGTTTTTATTTTAACTTTTATTTAATGAATATAAATTTCCAAAGTACCGCTTTTAGATTACAATGGCTTCGCCCCCCCATAACTTCCCTCCCCCTTCCATTCACATCAAGATTCATTTTCAATTCTCTTAATATACAGAAGATCAGTTTAGCATACATTAAGTAAAGATTTCAACAGTTTGTACCCACATAGAAACAGAGTGAAAAATACTGTTTGAGTACTAGTTATAGCATTAAATCACAATGTACAGCACATTAAGGACAGAGATCCTACATGAGGAGTAAGTGCACAGTGACTCCTGTTGTTGACTTAACAAATTGACACTCTTGTTTATGGCATCAGTAATCACCCTAGGCTTTTGTCATGAGTTGCCAAGGCTATGGAAGCCTTTTGAGTTCACCGACTCTGATCGTATTTAGACAAGGTCATAGTCAAAGTGGAGGTTCTCTCCTCCCTTCAGAGAAAGGTACCTCCTTCTTTGATGACCTGTTCTTTCCACTGGGATCTCACTCGCAGAATTATTTCATGAGTGGGTTGTTGTTTGTTTTTTTTTTGTTTTTGTTTTTTTTTTTGTTTTTTTTTTTTTTTGCCAGAGTGTTTTGGCTTTCCATGCCTGTAATACTCTCATGGGCTTTTCAGCCAGACCCGCATACCTTAAGGGCTGATTCTGAGGCCAGAGTGCTGTTTAGGACATCTGCCATTCTATGGGTCTGCTGTCTATCTCACTTCCCATGTTGGATCGTTCTCTCCCTTTTTTATTCTATCAGCTAGTATTTGCAGACACTAATCTTGTTTATGTGATCCCTTTGGTTCTTAGTCCTATCATTACGATCAACTGTGAACAGAAATTGATCACTGGGACTAGTGAGATGGCATTATTTTCTATTATTTAAACATTGAGCCAAGGTCTGCTTACTGGCTGGTACTAAAAGCAAATTTGGCAACCCCTCCCACCTCTAAGATGTGTGTTGCTCATCGAAATTTAAATATTGCTGTGGAATGATTTGGGGTACTCTATTATCCATTTGTATGCCAAAGATTAAAAACAGAAGATTGCTGCAAGCCTTGCTGACAAATTTACTTCCAGAGAATTAGTAGTCTTAGATGACACCTAATCAGTGAGGTGAGATTGTTGCCCAAGTAAATGTAATGGTAATCTGGGAAGAAAGTAGCCATGCTGTGTTTAATATTGTCAAAAAGTAAAATTTTTTGAAATGTTTCTGTATAAACTTTTATGCTGATTTTCTAGAATGTATTCAATAAAATTATAATGAATATCTAGTAAGTATAAAAACTCCAATTTTCCTGGACATTTTTTTCTTTGATTTCTTATAATCACACATGGTGCCATTTTTTGTTAGAGGTTTCTGTATTTTAAAAGGATAAAAAATGCTTTTTTGAATTGCTGATATAAACAAATTAGTATACTTACCAGAAATGAATGCCACATGTATTACCATTCTTGTTTTTGGTTTCTTAAATTAAATTAATGCAGCTCAAAGATTTTCTGCACAATATAGTGGGAAGTAATTAAAATCATTGTATAATAATGATCCATTACCTGTTACAACATTGAAAAGAAGTCTGCCCTTGGATTCAGTAAAATGAGTAAATATGTGTGAGTTATGAAAGAATGACAGCTATACATTGTTTTATGACCAAAAATTGAAATATTAGGGTTTATACCAAGTTAATCTAGTGAAGCATTTAGCTCTAATTTCCATCAGTCCTACACTCAAGGAGAAGCCACAATTCATTAGGCAGTATGCATTTTGCCTGAGACATTCCTTCAAAAAATGGATGGATTAGTTAAATTAGCAACTTCCCACCCCTTTTCTAACATCCTCTTATTTTTCCATTCTGTGTTCATGTTTTTGTATTCATTTAGATTTAATAGCACATGAACATTATGACATAGCTTGCAATCATTTATCTAGAGGTTTATTTATAACTTGAAGGAATAGACCATGAGTCGGAAAATAAAAACAAAAGCAATGTCATTTGCAATTGAAAAAAGCTCATTATAACCTGATGTTTGAACATAATACAATTTCTTCTATGTTCAATCAGGATTTTCACTGATATAATTTTCTTAAACTTTATTACATTGTAAATTTATTCCATCACACAATTGCCAATAATTAGCGAGTGCCTAGGACCTCTTCAGCACTGTATGACATGGTAACTACATTCTACTTAAGTTTCCATGTAGGAGTTGTTTCTTGCAACTTAGGCTGTTGATTTTCAAAAGTGATGATTGCATAGCACTTCTGAAACTATGGATGTATCTTTGTTTATATGAAATAATCGTTTTGAAAAAGCAAATACATGGATTTAAGTTAGGTAGTCATATGGAAATCAGTGAGAAAGCTTTCAGAAAATAGTTGTAATTCACTCATTCCATTGACTAAATAGAAAATCATTTTTTGCCAATAAACTTTCATTAGCAATAATGCTTTTAATGAAAATCCTCCACAATGAAGTCCTGAGAGGTTCTATACCCGATAAGAATGGAGTATTTCTTACCTGTTGATATTTTCTTGCTTGTAGTCTACTTATTCATAATTCTAGAAGGTAAATCAGGTTTAGTCTGATTCCAGTCCCAAAAGCTGAGCCTAGGAAATTTGATTTGAGAAATTTATTCAGAGAAAACCACCACAACCTAAGATTTAAGCAGCAAAAAATCACTGTGGTGACTACATTTTACATGCCAATGGCTTATGAAACATTTATCACATTATGTAAAAATCCCTTACCTATACATATTCTGATTGGCATGCTTTTCTCCTTCTCTATTTGGATCTTTAAAATGATACTCAAGCACAAATTCAAAGATTTGTTTGAAAGGCAGAGAGAGATAAGAGAAAGAGCTCTTTCATCTGCTTTTCTCTCCCTTAATGTCCACAATGGGCTGGCCAACCTAAAACCAGAACCATTGGGGGCTTCCAAATGGATGGCCAGGGCCCTGGTACTTAGGCCATCATCCACTGTTTTCCTGCATCAGACAGGGACCCGTCA